TGTATTGTGTCTAAAATGACATGTTTTGCATCCATATTCACCTCATCTGATGAAAATGAAACCTTGGAGACATGTAATTTGTTGGATTTTAGATACAGTTTTTCCCTAAATGCTTCAATATCAGAAGACTCAGAGTTTCTGTAATCTTCTTTCCCTGAAGAGATTATACCAAGATAGCTTCTGGGTTCAAAACTATTATTGCTATAAAATTTTCATATATCTTGGCGAATCAGTCATCGAAATTATTTATCAAGAATTCATGGAAATTAAGGTTCTTTGGTAATCTGATTTTTATTGATGAGTAATTTTGTAAATGATAAGGAACCTGCAGAACACTAACCAATTGTTTAAAATGCCAAAATAATGGGATAATCTTGCAACGATTTCTTGCAGTTCGCAAAGTTTTTACCAACCATTCTTTGCATATCTGTACAACAGAAGCTAGTAACCAATGTTGAGATAATATAGTCCTGCCAGTATTCCTGATAAAATCATGTAGCCACCATCTGATACTGTGGCCTTCTCTGATGTCATAACTAATCTTAGCCCCTGTTTGACAACCATTATAAAGAGTTTCTTTGCGGGGAAATGAGTTTTGAAATAGTGATTTTATGAGAATGAGTGGTTAAAATGCAGTAAAAAGTTTGATTTACGTGCAAAATATTTTATTGTCAGAAAATGAGTTTGAAAAAAAAGAGTTTTATAGAAATGGTTATCAAATAGGGTCTTAGTGACCATTTACCATTTTCTTCTCTGATTGCATGACTAATCTTAGTGACCATTTACCATTTTCTCTATCTTGTATTTGAATCTTTTTATACTTTTACCTTTCTATTTATGTTACATACTTCTTTTTCTCCTTTATTTATTATTATTATTATTTTTTTTTCAATTTTTCTCATCTAAATGATACTGAAATGAGAGGATTTTTACAGGAAAATCTATCATTGCCCTTACTGTAACTTGTGCCGGGTCGGAAAGGGATTGGGCATTGATTACTTTCATTGTATGAAATGCAATGCTTGTATGTCAAGGTCTCTCTTTGTGCATGTATGCAGAGAGAAGTGCCTTGAGGATAATTGCCCAATTTGCCACGAGTATATTTTTACTTCAAACTCTCCAGTAAAGGCGCTGCCATGTGGTCATTTGATGCATTCAGCATGTTTTCAGGTATCAGGCTGCTCTTGAGGATTTTCATTTCTTCTGAACTAATGCAATATATTATGTTTTCTTCTGAGCCTCTCTATGGTGCTGCTAGGATTACACATGTTCTCATTATACCTGCCCAATTTGTAGCAAGTCACTGGGGGACATGCAGGTCAGTTCAAATATTCTTTTCACATATTTTAGTTTGAAAGGCTCCTGTTCCTCTGGTAAGAAGGCAAATAATTTTATAACCTTGTGTTAACATAACAAGTGAATACTCATTAGTAGTTGTTGTTCTCACTCTTTCTAGAGGTCTTGTTTACGAGCCTCAATTTTGCTTCTTACATGATTTTACAAGAATGCTTAATATCATATTCTGTATATGATCTTTTTACAGTTGTAAATGAAAAAGGTTCTTATTGTTCATTATCTAAAAACTTGGAACTGACTGACTGGCACAAAATCTGGTTGAGAGGCTAGCCTTAAATAGATAACTAAATTAACTGTTAGAAAAGTCAGTGAGATTTAGCATGCTACAAGGTACGACTCAGCAGAATGAACCAGTGTAGTAACTGCAAGCTTGCTGCTCAAATGTGTTGGGTTTAAGTTCTTAACTACTTGCTTGGACTTTACAGTTATTGTTTCTGTTTCCAGTATACTTATGTGCATCAGGTGGATAAATTTATCTCCTAAATTTTCGTTCCAATGCATTTTTCTGTTCTACGCCTTACTTTCTAGAAAACTGTCATTCTGAACCAGTTTAAAGTAATTCCTTGAAAATTGCAGACGAACTTATTAAATGAGTCTTTAACTCTGTATTATCTTGGACTGGAAATATATCCGTTAAAAATTTCTTATGCTGCTCTCGTGCCTCTTAAATATAATAATCAACTAATCTTTTTTCTCAGTTTACTGTTACTCAAATAAACATATTAAACACGTGAAAAAGAAACTAGAAACTAATGTTTATATATCTGGCATTTCTAATTTGCCATTCCAGTACACTTATTGCAAGTTGAGTCCATTCCATCTGATGTTATACACGATTTTTAGCATTACGAAATATTAAAATGGTTCCTTTCAGGTGTATTTTGGAATGTTAGATGCTCTATTAGCTGAAGAGAAAATTCCAGAGGAATATTCTGGTCGGATTCAGGTTGGCTATGTTCTATGTACACTCTTAATTGGCATTCTTGATTATCTTCTAACTTGGGTAAGATAAAAATAATCCAAATTGACTGTCTATGGATGTGCAGGTTATACTGTGCAATGACTGTGAGAAAAGAGGAACTGTATCCTTTCACTGGCTCTACCACAAGTGCTCTCACTGTGGTTCATACAATACCAGGCTCCTATGACTCAAATACTTGGCAAGTTTGGATTTTGTGTCTTACTCATCTAGAAACAAATAAGTCCTGTTGATTCGTGTGTCATGTATGAAACCTATCAATTTCCAAGTTTGGATTTTGTGTCTTACTCATCTAGAAATAAATAAGTCCTGTCGGATTCGTGTGTCATGTATGAAACCTATCAATTTCCTCGACTAATATAATTTATTTTATCTTTATATCTCCATCTTTCTTACTGAAACTTTTGAAGTCTGATTCAGATATGAAATCATTTGTTACCAAATCCAGTTTGCGAGTTTGATAATTCTACTCTGGACAATGCTTGCTAAATTCTTTATTCAGAAATTTTTCTGACAATAATCTTCACCATTGAAGAGAAACATTATAAGATGGCCTATTTCTTGCTGTCATGCATGATTCATATAGCAAACGATTTTGTGAGCTTCTTCATTTTGTGAATGGTGACAAGCTGATCTTTCAAGTTTAAAGTGTGACGACTTTGTCTTCTTCTTGGACAGCATTATTGTTGGCAGGCATCATCTAACCTGTTTTTCCTAATTCACTCTTTGGTACTATAATCTTCTGACTTTTCCATATCTAAAGAGTTATTCCCCCAGTCCACCATTTTTCCATCCTTGCAAAACTGTTAGTCAGGCCCTGATTCTGTACTGGCCCCCTTCGACCGATGCACTGTGCAACTTGATCTCTACCAATTTCCTTACATTCTTAATGCATCTTGAAGACTAGATTGGATACCCTCAATGTCATGGGGTCTATTAGTATGGTCAACCTTTGTTAGAGTAATAAGCTAGTTTAGCCACTAACAGCTTCAATGAATCCCATTTCTGGTCTTTCTAAGAGTATACTGTCTGAAGTTGTCAACCAAACATAACTGGTTTTAGTCGTCATCCATCATGAATGCTTAGCATATACTTGGACATAACATATAAACTTTATTCCCACCAGAGCTGTGAATCATTTTGTCTCTTTTTTGCTCCACATTGCATTTCTCAGGTCTCAGATAATTTTGGTCTCTCTCTCTCTCTCTCAAATTCTGTTTAACTGGGATCACATCACGACATTCTGTAAACTTATCATCGATTATTGGCACATCCTTGTTCGGCATATATTTTCATTTCTCATCTCCTTTTTAATATGGCCATGCCTTCATCTTCACATCCTCATTTCCCAACATTCATATTGAGAATGTTTTGTTCTTTAACAGTTCACCACTAAGTACTAGTATAGCTGGTCTAATACCCAGTTTCCAAAACTTGCCCTTTATCCCTATAACATTATAATTCCTTCCTACCGCATCGAATCTCAATATCACTTTTTCATCTAAATCACTCATCCTATGAATTACATCTTTAATTCACATTTCCTTAAACCTAGTTACTAAAAACATTTGCTCTTTGGGACAACACGATCCTGTCTAGTGTCTCCACTGTCATCCTTATCCTATCACTCAAGACACCTGTTATACCTTTGAGTTCATCATTCGCCTTTATATCCAACCGCTAAATCCAGTTACCCTTTGCCTTTCCAATTCAGCCAGTCTTTTCTAACTGAAGTATGGTCATATGCAGTATAATTTTATCCATAGCTGTCATAATAAGGTTACAGTTTTCACATAATTTTTGTTCTTTAGATGGGAGAAAATATATCTATCATGTAACGACTTGGCCTCTGTGACCAAATTGTTATATCATACGTAATGTCCACTTGGGAGAGTATCTACCCTCTTATCCCTCCCGACTTTGTGTTACGTCTCCCAATATTCGAATCAAAGACCTCTACCCAACGAGAGACCTCCTAAAGTGGACAGTACTTTTGATATAATGGTTTGGGCAAAGAGGTTGGGTCGTTTGTATCCAAGCCATTATATCATTACGTACCATCCATTTTGAGAGAGCCTAGCCCATCATACCTTTCATGGATTTCGGTCGCGTCTCCTAGAATTTGAACCCAAGACCCTAGTGAGAGACTTAAGTTGAATAACGGCTTGGACATGAGGCTTGGGTCGTTACATATCAGCTAATTGACAATTTTACACCCTCTGGAGTTCACGAGGTGCTGTTTTCCCATAAAAAGATACATTTTCCTATCGTAAAGTAGATTGGAATCAAGATTAAATTATTGTATCCAATCTTTGTCAAAAAAGGAAACATCATAGATTTATGCACATGATGGTGAATCTCCTGGAAAATTTGTTTAACTAGAGGAACATTCTCCTAGATTTGCCAAGATTGATCTAAGATTTGCAGCAGAAAAGAGAGGTTCATCTTTCCATTTGGTAGACTAAGGTGTACAATGAACAGATATTTTATAATGGAACCATAATGAACTATTTTTGTAGTTCCTTAAAACAGAATGTAGAAAATAAGAAACAATACAAAGATGAAGAACGTACCCTAGGAATTCTGTATGAATAAGAAATTAAAAACAGGATCCACAAGAGGCCAAGCCATTGTGCTAATATCTTCTTCATTTTCATTTTCTTTATCAGTTGAAACTGGTAAGGCTGAAGCATGCAGCAGCATTCTTTAGTTCATTTTCAGCCATTTGATGGACAGAATGTCTTGTATCTTTCATTGATGATTCCGAGCTGCACATAAGTTGAAATTTCCAAATTAAACAAATAGATGTCATAATTTAATCATTGGAATCTAGCTTCTGATTGCACAAATGAAATAAAAGTTAATACCTAGATTCATATACATCCTTGGAGTCGATGTAGGATTGCCTGTCATCGATGGTATCAAAAAATGGATGTATCTCTTCATAATCTTGAGTCATTTCTTGTTGAACAGACAGAGGTTGTGATGTTGTCAACTGTGATTGCATTGCCATTGAGTTGGCATTGTTATTATTGCTGTTACTAAGTGTCTGTTGAATCCATAAATTACTGACCATGTTATCTTCCTTGGAATCCAAAATATTAATGTTGTAAGCAGCATTGCCATTATCAGAATAGGAAGGCTGTGGTGCAGTAGGCAACGCTGTCGCAGCATTATAGGATTGAGGAAATTTTTTATGGAAAAGTGAAAAGGGATTCTCGGGAGGTACGATTCCGACTCCTAATTGTAACTGTGACGGAGGCTCATTGTTCAATGAGATCTCTTGCTGCTGTTGATGATTCCATCGATAAAATGCAAGTTGTACAAGAACAGCTTGAAGCTCCTCTTCACCTGCTTGGATTTGGCAATACAGTTGTTGTATCTCTACGAGACATCCATAAACGGGGAACCTATCTCGCATGTTGGCTTGGTATTTGATCGACTTCATGGCAATAACTCTTTGAGTCTGGTCGAGCTGCTTTAATATTTTCAATATGTTTTTCACCCCAAAAAGCTTATGTGCATTTTGAAACATTTTGGGCTGATCGGCAGGGAAATGTGGTGCAAGAGAGCAATCAGAAGTGCACCTTCTTCTTTGACACTTGCACGCGGCACAGGCCTGCTCAGTACCACTCTTAAGGGTCATTCTCAAGGCATCAAATCCAGGTAACGAATTTCAAGAGTTATAGTAGATGCAAATCATGTCTGTATTAAGTTAAAAATGGTGTGATATGAAGGAAAAAACTGTAGTTTGCTGGGGAAAATGGAATTACTTGAGTAAAAGTGAAAAGAATTTGAGAGAGAGAGAGAGAGAGAGAGTGCATGTGTTATTTGGAGTCCTGATATTGAGGGGCAGTAGTGGTCATGGGTAAATCTCAGTTAAACACAAATATATACATGGTTTTTCTTGAGTTTGAATTTTCAAGATGGTTACACTAGGGTGAAGGGGCACTTGGCTTTGGATAAATTGGTTCACGTTCAAATTCTTCCTTTTTCTTCGGTGGTTTAGGGGTGGCGGTGAAGCGTTTGGTTAGGAAAAAAAGTCCAGCAAAAATGATTCTTTAAGCCATGTTGATTATTATTAAGTGATTTGTTAAAGAATGTACGATTAAAATATAAGAAAAATTATGGGTCTATATGTAAAATTATTCTTTTAGGGGAATATATGATTAAAAATGATTTTGAACAAAGCGATGAACATGCTGTGCACATGCCGACAAAAATATAATACAAACCCTGTAAATATGGTTCATCATTATAATAAAATTACAACAAGCCGACTGATTGTCTTATATTTTTTTCTTGTTCTTTTAATTTTAAAACGAATTAGTTACTATTAATAACTTTCCCTGTGTATAAGCATGGTGATTGTAAGTTTATCGAAATCAATTTTGTAGAATGTCTTTTTTTTTTTTTTTTTAATATTAAATTTTTTAAGTATGCATTGCACCGCGTGATAATAAAAAACTTAACTTTATTCTCTGAACAATTGTTCAAAACTCATGCAGGCTACATGGTAAATAGGATCATTAACCACCAAATCCACATGTACATTTTGTCCACTAAATCCATGTAATATCCATGCATTAAGGGCATAATTTATATATGATTGCACTTACCTATCATTGACTACAAATATAGTTCTTATAATTTTATGCAAAAATATGTTGCTGTCTATGATTTAACTTTCTTATGTAAAATTTTTGGATTTTACTCCTCTACCAGACCTGGTAATGATCTGGTAGAGGAGCCTCTCTCACAGCAATGGGTCCCCCATTGGGACCCATTATTAAAAAAATGCCAAAAAACACCTACCTCCACCCCCAAATGTGAGTGGAGTTGCTCTACTAAATCTGGCAGAGCAGCATGGTCCAAAATTTTTTCATTGTAATGATACTTATATTTGCAATTTTAGTTCAAAATGTCTCTATATCATTGTATTTTTATATATTTAGTAGCAAATTATTAATTTTGAATAAGATCTGCTCTTAATTTACTATTACTCATGAAGAAGCAAAATATAATTTTAATATTGTGGAAGAACATTGAGCAATTGCTCATTAATACTTTCAAAATATATTTTATTTTGCTTTTGAAGTAGATCACGTCTCGAAAAATATTATTTCAACTAATCTCATGAAAAATAATAATTGTGATCTATGAAATAGGAAAGCATACAACTCATGTCCCATTGACATTAACTTCTTCTTTTTTATTCTATTTTATTTTATGACTTTGGTGTCCGAGTTTCGTCGAACAAATCCTAAGGAGTGGCGGCCTTTCCCCTTGATTCGCTACTCGGGTAAATCCGAATGCAGTCATACTTTATACATACTTGGACTGAGTATTCAGGATGCAGTTTTTTTCCCATGGACCTCCCTTTACAATGTGCAGATAGGACTCATGAAGGGACGACAAGGCGTACCATAACTTTGCCTCACAGGACATTTGTCTTCCAACATAAATGTTTCTCTTGAAGTAGATCACATGCCTCAAAAACTATTATTTCAGCTAATCTCATGAAAAAAAATAATTGTGATCTATGAAATAGGAAAGCACACAACTCATGTCCCATTAACATTACCTTCTTAGTTGGTTGTTACGTAATTATATAGTAGTTAATCATATTCTTCAAAATTAAGGGAGTTTTGAGCCGTGTTCCGTTTCTTATTCCGTGATGGTATGACACTTTATGGTACTGTAGGGTAGGGGGTGAGGTTTTAAGGAGGAAGGTGGTATCACGCTTTTTTCACTGTTTAGAAGTTAAAATCAACGACCAAACGTGATTGCCTTCAAAATATTTGTTATATACAATGCTTAACACCTTCGGGCCCAATGATGGAACTCAACAGTTGAGCCCAAGTTTGTTTGTTGCCCGGTTTGCCCCCACTTGTGCAAAGTCGTGTTTCCTCCAAATGCTACTTTAGTTTGTTTTAACTGGATGGATCAGATGGTGCCAGGTGGAGTCGGCTAAACCGTTGGATGCAAATGACTTTTCATTATACTGGCCCTAGACTTTTCACTTACCATTCATTTGAGAGACTTCTTGGGTTATCTTTTCATTGTTGCTCTCTGTAATTTTCTCTCTCAAAAAACTTCTGGTTTTTGGTTTTAATCTTTGAATCATTAGATGTTCTTGGTAATATCTAGTTCGTGTACTTGGTGTAGAGATTATATTTGTTCTTGGTTGAACAGTGAGGCTCGATTACTTGGTGTAATCTGTTTGTTCGATCTGTGAGGGAAAAATAGGGTCTGAGGGCTGATCTTTCTAGATCTGTAGTTTGTAAACCTTTTACTGATACTCTATTGTTGGTTTCTAGTGGATTAGAGCGTTAACCAATTTGGTGGAAGCTCAACGTGGTGACGTAGCCCTTTTTGGGGTGAACATCCTGGCCTTCGGGCGAAAAAATCCTTGTGCTCTTTTATATTTCTGTGTTTTTTTTTGGACTATTGGGACTGTTAATACCAACAATATTATCAATAGGAGGCGCTTTTTTCATCGATTTTATTCTTTATAATCCTTGTATTCTTTTATATTTCTGTGTTTTTCTTTGGACTATTGGGACTGTTAATACTAACAATATTATCAATAGGGAAATGATAAGAAGATATTGGAACATCAATTTGGAAGAGATGATGGAGGTAGGAGTTGAAGAGTAAACCTCACTGATTTTTAACACCCAAACCATGATATGAAATAAGTCGATAAAGAAAAAAACGATCAATATGTAGAATCAGAACAAGTGATCACTGAGATTCGCCCAAGAACATTCACTTTGAATTTTAAAGAGAAGGTTCCATGAATGGTTCATTAGAATATTAGAATCGCCACAAAAACAAACATTTCATTTGAAAATGAGTAGTTCAGATAGAATCAATCCTACTCCACTAGTACCAATAGGTAGCATAGGGGAAGAAGCACTACAGGAAGACCGAGAGCTAACTATTAAGACTTTGGACTATCTGGACACATACTTCGGGAAAATTCATAAAAGAAGAAAACAAATCATCCTTGTAGAATCATGTAAAAGCACTTATCTTTGCACGTCACCATTTTCGCAATAGATTGAAAATCAAATACCTAATTTTAAAAGATCCACACATTGTTTGAAAAAACTTAATTGAAAGATTTGACCATCAAAGTATTGTAGTCTTTGAGCACTTTTGCTTGTAGAACTTTAAAACTGGTCATGGGTACAATTCTAAATTTTCAAGAATATGTTCAAAATTAACTATGTATAGAGAAAAAACTATTGATGAAGGTATATTGAAAAAAAAAAACTTGCTCCACTTTTCATGCCTCTGTTGACACATAAAAATTCAGCCCAAATCGAACGGCCCAAGGAATGAAGCCCAATTGGAGGATCCCCAAGTCAGATAGCTCAAAGAACGAAGTCCAATCAAACAATTCAAGATGAAGACCTAAATAGGGAGGCCCAAGAACGTGGTAACGCCATCGCCCAAGTTTGCAAGTCGCCCAGAATCTGAGCGGATGGAGTGCCATGCAGTCGCCCAGAGCTGTTACTCTATTCTCGCCCAAACCTTCATGTCGCCCAAGGTCTTAATAAACATAAAGCGTTGTGGTTATCAAGAAGTGCAGTTATCAAAGCAGTTATTAAAGCAGCCATATCACGTTCCAGGATTCAAGGAATTCAATCGAAAATGGTTGAACGACGAAAAGTAATGGCAGCAGTTAAAAGAAGGCAGTTTTCATGACAAGCTGGTCATTATGAGGAAAGTGGCCAGTTGCAGAACGATCGAGCAGTTTTTAGGCGGTTGATCACAAAAAAGATTATCCATGGAGTATAAAAGGGAGAAAAGACATAGAGCAAAGAACCGAATCAAAAACTCTCGAACAGAGAACATGTAATTTTAATTTCCTTAGTTTAGACTTAAACACTTTTTTCAGTAACTCATGTGCTTGCGCCCCTTGGAGGCATTTTGTTTTTGATTTCCAATTGTAAAGTCATCGCCAATAAAAGAACACCCCTTTTTGGGATTTTGTCTCAAGAGGTTTGTCCCTTACACAATCGTCTGATCCCTTTTAATTGTTAGCGACTAACCCGCGCCGAAACAATTTGGCACGCCCAGTGGGACAGTGGTGTTTGGTGTTGAAAGTACAAAAGGTGAAACAATATGCCTCAGAAATCCGATAAGGAAGCAGCAAGTCAGGGAGGAGTCCAGTCTGTGATCGAGCGATATGAGGAGCAGCATGCCTCTCCACGAACAGATGGACAGAATCAGAGTAGTAATAGTCGTTACAAACCAATGACGGAGTTGAGTCCTCGAACCATGCGTGCATTACTTGGAGAACTCACACAAGACGTTGTTGAACAGGTAAATCTTCGAAGTATTCATAATATGGAAAGATTTACCCAAAATGGGAATGCACACTATGACAACATGGCCAAACAACTAAACACTTTGAACGAAACAATGAATAAGTTAGTAGGCCAAATATGTCAACCGGTTATACCTCTTGCAAATCACTTTCAAACTAGGACGATTGTGGGACATAACTCCTCAGTCCTAAATCCGAATCAAGGGGTAGAACCACTTTCTGGTCCCTCTACTTCAAACCAAGGGGGTACTGCAGTGCCAAATCAGAACAATGGTAGTGGTACGCCTAACTTGGGGGGTAATCCAAACATAAGAGATAATGTCCTAAACAATGGACAGAATACCCCACGTGTTAATGAGGGAATAGATGTTCAGGCTAATGGTAATGGCCCTAATCATGGTAACTTTGTTGCCAATCAAGGACCAAATATCAGGCCTCATGCAAATCAACCAGTTAACCAGCCTGTAGGAATTCCATATGATCCCAACGTCATGTTGAGGAATCAGATTATGAAAATTGTACAGGATCAGATCGCTTTTGGGGTGCGTCTAGTCATTAGGCCGACGTACACAAAGCCATATCCTGATTGGGT